TCAGTTTATCCTGCGGAGGTGAGAGGACCTTTCAGGGAGGGCATGTGCGGCGTGGACCTAATGCCGTTGACAATAACGACAATCGTTTTAAATGGTGTGCTGCCATGCTTTCCGTTCCGGTAATTTTATACTGAAAGTTTCTAAAATTTTGTGGAGAGCAAGCTTTTTCCTCGAAAAGCAAAGGAAAAGCGAATGAAAGGATAGCTATAAGCCCTGCTTTCCTCAGACAACTGTTATTCACCTCGAGTACTAAAGCATTTTGCATCGCCATCGCTTTTATGACTTCATTTTCGACATGTATTAATTGCGAACGGTAGATTACAACTTCTACTCCTATAATCATTTCATTCAAGAATGAAATCATCCTAGTTAACAATTTCGATGGAGGTTGTTATACTTCTTCAAGAGAATCGCAGCTGCTTTTAGATAAAAAGCCTGTGGCATGACTTTCGGGAGTTTCGTAATTATAAACCACCAAATTACACAACTGAAGCATACGAAAAGAATGATTTGAAAAACAGGTGAGCATCCTACTTCTATTATGGAATCTTGATGGCTCTGGGAACTTTAGAATTCATTCATGGACAAGCGGCTACATCTATAGCATTTATAGATACGATGACATTCTTTGTATGGATGCGACAAGAGTTCGACTAAAGGCTCGTTCTGAAAATGATGATTACATTCATGCTAATTGGATCACAATGCCTGATAATCAAAAATACATTTGCACTCAGGTTATCGGGAGGCATATCAAATGCAAAGGCGTTCGATCATGCATGAAATTTTAAGGGTCCACTTGCCGAAACTGTTGAGGATTTCTGGCACATGGTTTTCACAGAAAGGAGCAATGTTGTCGTAATGCTCTGCAATTTTGTTGAAGGTTAGATTTCCAGTCTAAGGTTATAAAATGTGCATAAAACTTTTGCTAAAAGGCAATTTCTCTCCCACTAGCAATGCCCAGGACTTATAACCATTTTCTTTAGGAAGTCACGATAAATGCTATCCGTATTTTGCAAACGAGCAAAATCTACCGGTTGATTTCGGCGGATTATATACAGTTACTGTCAAGGAGTGCTATGAAAATGATCCAACGGGGACAATTCAGCACAAATTGATAGAAATTGAAGTTTTGTATGTGTTTAATACTTACTTTAATTAACAAATTTTTAAACCATAACGAAGAAATATCAAAGCTTAGCGTTCACGTAAAGCTCGGCACAGATGTAGGGAGGACTTCCATGCATTTCTCTATTTTCAAAGCTTATCCAGCTTTATATACAAACAAGTCATTACAAATACAATAACCTGTGCGGAAAATGTAGAGCTTTTTTTCGAAATGAGGAACAATCAAACAAGTACACATATACGCAAATACATATGGACGCCTATAATCGCTTTTGGAAAGCGCATGATCCTTTCTTTTAAGCGGAGTCAAAAAGATGATGATCGCCGAGATGCAAAAAAGTTATGGCATTCTGTAAGATATCGAAAAAATTATCCAAACCGACCCGATATGAAGGAATTTATATATTGACTGCCGGAAAGAGTGCAGACTTTTTAGACTAATGACGCAAAAGTAGGAGTTTTTGAAGACCAAAGGTCTTTAGAAAGTATCTTGCTTTACAAAATGGTAAGCTCGAATGCCCAGTCCATCGAAAGTTATTTGATTGGGAAGTCATTGAAATGGAACAGTAGGACAAGAAGGACAATATCGCACTTGTCCATTCCGGGAACCCAGATATCGAATCTCGCCAAGAGTTACTCCAGTGGGGTTGTTTGACATCGATTGTGAATATGATAAACTTTTCGAAGAATAGCGCTTTTTTTGTTGGGTTACGGTAGGCAGACAGGGAAGGGCCAAAGCGCAGATTTGCTTAAAAAGTGAGCTAGTGGAATTGATATCGCCATTTTGTTGGGTAGGCACGAAATTTGTTGAGGCAAATCGATGATTTTGGCCCTTTATAGTAAAGGCTCGTCAAAGTGGAGATTGCTTTTGTGATAAGGAGGTAAGTAATTCCACTCAGTTTTGCTAATCCTGCCCCTCCAGCGTCTGCACAAATTACCCTACATTGAGGTCGTGTTCTGTAGATTGTTCATTAAATACCTAATCAGTATGTCAAACGAGCGCAGAGTGAAAGTCTTAGAAAGACCCGATAGAAGAGGGAGATGTAACACAACAATTCTACCAAAGGGAAGTACAGGAAAAGGCAACTGTCATAGGCGTAATTTCTCTCGTTGTGAGGGGACTCCTTAGCGCTTGACAACAACAATTACAATTACAGTTCACAATTAACAAAAATCCAAGAAAAAAAATCCTGCTGGAGTATTATTTTCATGTCAGACAGCGTGATACGAAAGAAAGATGAATTTTTTTTATCTTCGCATCTCCCGCTTGCGCAGTGTCTGACGAGATGAAGCTATGCAGGATTCTTAAAATATAAACATACATGGTATTCATCTATTTTAAGCTTCCTCATGTCAGCTTTGATTCTGTCCATCCAACGCATCTTTCTTCTTCGAATTCTCTTTTCAGGAACAGCAACGGTCCATTCTTCTAACATATTCTTCTCTTCTTTTCACATGTTTGTACCATCGCAACGTCTTCACGGCATCTCTAACGGCAGCAATTCTCTTCAGAACCGTGCCATTGCAGTGATCTAGCAGGGTGATACCTACTGTGTATCCAGCAATCTCATCTCCACAGTACTAACTGTGTTCCTTGTTTCCGGTAGGCCAACGCTCACTGCCAGACAGAATTGGGCGAATTGCGTACTGTGTATTTTGTGCACTAGCATTCGTATTACATTGATCCCCTGCGGAAATACTCCATTTCATCCAGTTTACATCTGTCCGGGCGCAGGGCCGATAGCTGTCCTGAAACCATACCTCGGAAGAGAACGACTTCCCCATTGATTGGAAAAACTTGCCTTAATTGTTTTGCTATCGATGCATTTCTGCATATTCTACCTTCCTTAAGTTGACCTGCAAGCTGTACGACCCTAGACAATTCTATTTCCTGTACTTCAAGTCCTTTTATGCCTTCTTCCATCAGCACCACAACGTACATATCAGCCTTTAACTGCTGTTTGAGTCCTTTTATTGTTTACATGACCGGATGAAGAGGAGAGGACAGAGCATCGATCTTGGTGTGCGCCTACTATACCGAATTTTTCGATCGGGCAGCTGTACCTGGCTCGTAGCTCCATTAGAGATCATCTTATCCATTCAAGGTTTCTCCGACATGTTCTTTTGCAGTGCTCAGAACATATTGCGGAGTACCTTTCAAAAGCATACGCATCTTGAGCGCTCTTTGTTTCTCTCCATATTCCTCCGTCACGTGAGCAGTGTGGATGCGTCAACAGTACCGGCCCGAAAAAACAGCCTATGCTCGAAACCGTGTTTCAAATATTCGGATCTTAAGAGCGAATTCAGTGGTCGGAATGGCCACTATGTTATGCAGCTTGAGATTTCGCCCTTTTTCTTTCAGAACCGATGTGCTGTTTGACTAATTGTAGGCTAATATCTGGCTTTGGTGATTTGACTGTAAAAAGCCGTTTCTTTTTGTTTTCAGAATTACTAGTGATATCGTCCTCCACATATCTCTGTAAGTCACTCTCCCTCAGCTTAAGCCTGCTTGTACGCTATGCTTTTTTACTTCAGTACCATTCGAACTTCTTTATTCCACCACAATACCCCTCTCTAACAGCTCTTCTTCTCCCTAGTTTCGACTCAGTGAATTTTTTATTTTGTGAAGGTTACCATGATTGACGATGATTGTTCTTCTCTTCGAGGTAAGGCTGATAGAATACCTACCAACGCTTCCTAATTAAAGTGTTTCCTTCAACTTCCACCATAAGTCGTAATTTCCGTCAGTTACTTTGTCTGCACTCAAATTTTAAGGTCTAGATGCAGTGACTTAGGCGGAGGTGCAGAACTTTCGCCTGGAAAACTTTACAATCCTTCACAATTCTTAGTTATTGTGATACACTATTCAGTAGTCAATTTTCGCGCGACGGTCATTTGATTACAAGATCAAGTGGTCAGCTTCCTAAAGTAGCATATCAACTGTAGAACTCGTGATAAGTTGATTGTTCATTTCGTGTGACTATATGGGCTTCACGGTCATAATAAATGGCCTCTGCGCCTTTCTTCGAGAGGCAAGGTTACAACTCATTATTTCCAAAAGAAATACACATACAAGGCCTTTTAAATCAGGTAAGCATCCTGTTTTGGCGTGTTTCCAGCACTTCGAAGGATATCACCAATAGAAAAATTAATCTGCGTAATTCTCTTGCTTTTTATGTTTCAATGGATGAACCGCCTCTAACTATTTCCACATAAGAATAATATGGTTTACATGATCTTGTTTAATTAGTTGTATAGCGCTTAATAATGCTTTAATTTATCTATAAGCAATAAACTTGTTTGGCGCAACAAACTCGTAATTCAATATCACCGAATAACTAAAGTGGCCGCCATGTCCGGCCTTGCTCGGTTGCATAAAATCTGCTACGACCTGCACCTAGTCTTTGTATTTATATGGAGCACTACAGTGTCACTAATCCCACGTCCATTTTGCTATATCGTGTCCTATCTACCTCTTGATTGAATCCCCATGTCGCGTAAACGCATTTGTAAAGTCAGCTTATTGAGCAACACTCAAAGTTGATATCTTCTAAGAAAAGATTGAAAAAATTTATACCATAACAGTAGAGACGAAGTGGAAGTGCAGGAAGTCGCGAGCGTATTTCATGGCCCCTTCCTTCCCTCCCCGGTGTAATGTACTTGGGTCTATAATTTTTTTATAATTACCCCATGCAACTGAATACATGCCTGCTAACATAACGGGTTTATAATTTTTTTATAATTACCCCATGCAACTGAATACATGCCTGCTAACATAACACTTCCAAGTAGTTGATATCTTTCCATTCGTTTCTTTGAATGCTAATGAAAATGTTAATGCGCACAATTTGACTTCCTTTCCCTGTAGTCATCGTTGTAACTGACTCTTATTGCGAATCCATATGAGCAAGTATCCGCTCAACTTAATTCCATTCAGAAATATTTGTATGTAAATGACCTTGCTTGAATAGTCTGATAAGATCGATCGTTATTTAAAAAATTACGTGATTTAGCCAGAAATTCGCAACAACCCTCTCAGACGACTAACTATTGTAAAAAGGATCCTACTTTAACTGCAGACTCCAATATGCAAGTGTGCAGAGTTTAGGCCTTGCATTTCAGAAAGAGAAGTTGGTATTCAGAACACCTTTTGATATAATTATTGGGTGTACAACTTAATTCGGTCCGTTTTTTCTGCTTGAAAATGCATTTATTTGAATCATAAAATGAATTGATACCTTATTCAAAGTATTGG